AAAAAAAAAAGAAAAGAAAGTCATTGTATCAATTGATTGATTAAAACCTGCTTACATTGAAATAATCACACAAACACATAACACAAATCAAAGCAAGCCAATAGACAACGTGACCTCACCTAAAATTTCAATAACTCCAACAACAACATAAAAAAGTGTACATTGGCCACGACATTTAGAAACATACATTACAGATCAGATTTTATAAAAGAATCTTCTTCAGTCTGGGGTGGGGGTTGTTGGATTACCGCCCCCTGATGATAATCACAAGCGGCGAGATTTTGAAATTACCCCCTTATGATAATCACAAGCAGCGAGATGTTGAATTACCGTCCCCTGAGGATAATCACAAGCAGCGAGATTTTTCAATTACAGTTCCCTGATGATAATCACAAGCGTCGAGATTTTGAAATTTTGAATTACCGCCTCCTGATGATAATCACAAGCGGTGAGATTTTGAATTACAGCTCCCTGATGATAACCACAGGCGGCGAAATTTTGAATTACCGCCCCCTGATGATAATCACTAACGGCGAGATTTTGACTTACCGCCACCTGATGGTAATCACAAACGGCGAGATTTTGAATTACCGCCCACTGATGATAAACACAAGCGGCGAGATTTTGAATTACCTCTCCCTGAGGATAATCACAAGCGGCGAGATTTTAATTTGCCGGCTCCTCTTGATAATTATAGGTGGCGCGAGACTTGAAAGAATCCATCTCTTTCTCGGTGAATTTTCATAGCAAAAAGACGTATTTTCGCCCCCGCCGACATGTAAGTACCTCAACTACAGACACTGAAGCTTGCTTTGAACTTTGAATTTTTCCTTTTGTAAAATGCCCTTTCTATATATTCATTAATATTCATTTTTTTAAAAATTCTATGTTTTATTCTTCCGTCGACTCGAGTCCTCCCAAATTGTTTGCCGGTCAAATGTACCAGGAACATAAAAATCTCATCAAAAGTGTTACTACCAAATGAACTCACCATTGAGTCGAAGTCCAAATTTAAACATAGCCGCGATCTCTCTCAATTACAATGTTTTTGTTTAATCTCCCCACCAAGCAAAGCAATAAAGCCCCTAAGACGCAAGGGGCTACTGAATGTGAAAGAATATAAGAAGAAAAACGTTATTAAGGAGAGAGAACAATAAAAGAAGAGAAATTAAAAAGATAGAATATAACAACTGACATTGCATTTAAATTTTTTGAAGATTTAAAAAAAAAATTAATGAAAAGACAATTAATTAATTAAATGACAAAAGTAACTTTTGTTATTTCAACTGGTTACTTTTTACTCTGCATGTTATCAAAAAGGACAAACATTCGATGAATGGTTACTCGACCGGTCAGTTTTAGATAAGTTTTGAATGGTACACCAACAACAGTAAATCATTTGACAATGAAAAAGATTCTTAACAAACGGAACAGGGGAGAAAAAACTTAGATTTGGAATCGGTTGTTTTTCCTTTTTAATCAAGCTTTGTTTGTTTTAAAGTTGTTTTTGTTCTTCTAGAAATTTACTCAGTAGTGAAAGTAGCCACGAGAAAGAAAACTATAGATTGAAATCACTGAAAGAGGCAAGAAAACGAAATCTCTTAAAGCTGGTTAATTCGTCTTTGTATTGTTTTCATAAAAGACAAATTAGAACGTTTGTCTGCAAAATGATTCCAAAGAAAATAGTTTGTGTAAGTTCGACGTAGAATTCTTACAAGAAGAGAGAAGAATGTTCTTTGTTCAACAGAATAAACCTGGATCGTATCTTTTTCACTTCTGAAACGATCTACAGCATCTATTGCTTCCTATCAAAGCGAGAAAAAAAAACTAAGATTGTGGACACGGCCCGATACAAATACCGAATTTTTTTTATTTTTTGTTTATGCAAACAAAGCTACGTAGAGCAGTTCTAAACTCAACTGGCTTCTGGCGAACAGCTAAGCACTTTTCGAAATTCTAATTTTCACCCAGTTTCGAACAGCCATCATTACCGCCTCGAGGAAATACGGAGATATTTGCTCTCCCCACACGGATCAGATTATTTACCAATCTCGATCTGCTTTACCGTCATAGGTTAACATTCTGGTACAATAATGGTAATGGTAATATTAGCCGTTTCCCTATAAGGAAACATTTAGCATTTATTGACCAAGCAGCCAGTATTGCTTTCGACTGAAATTTATAAAATCTTTCTCTTGAAATACATTATTTATTTTTTTTAGGAAAATTGGTTTCTCAAGTCCAGTAGCTGTTATCGCTCTTTCCAGTATTGACAGGAGGTTTCTTTCCTATTCTATTCAAAGTGATGTGGAATATTATTGTGTCATTATTTTCACTGCGAGTTATATGTGCTATCCAATTTAGGTGTAGCTTCTGTCGGTAGTCCTCAAGAGATGTGATTTCTGTTATTTGGTACTGATCTTTCTTTGCGATTCTGTAGCTTCAGTCCACAATATTCAAAGTAGAGTGATCTTTGGCAAGTCCCTCAGACTTGATTCGCTCAGAGACTTTTTCCACCATTGATCTTAGCAAGCGGTCGTATACAGCGGACAGTTTAGATATTTCTGAGCTGGTTTGGTGTCATGCATCACGTCCATATGAAAGTTTCGATCTGACGGGGCTATTAAAGAACATAAAGCAAAATCAGCGAGTTCGAATTTTAAGAGAGTCTCCGAAAATGTAACCTTGTGCAAAAACGTTGTTTGTTCGACTGGGGTAGTTGCGTGCATTCCAACAATGTCAGCGAGTAGTGTTCTAGTCTCAGCAAAAGTCAGAATCTCGAATGTTGATTTTTAAGGCAGACAGATCCCCCTATGACGATTAACACTAAACAACCTTCCGTGAGAAAGTACTTGTTTATATCTATGTCTCCTTACCAACAGTCACCGTTCGAATTTAGCTAGAGGTTATTTTGGAAGCCATATATCGAGGACTCCCTCGTTGTCTTTCGTCATATGAAGTTCCAGCATGTCAGTTTTTAGACCTGAGCAGCCAGAATACCCGCATATATGATTTGATTATAGTGGTTAAAGTGTTAAGACTTACAGTGACACGCATAAGTATTGGATACATGTTATTTTCTGTTATAACTCTAGTTTATATTCGCCATTTTAGAGATGTTTTGGTAAGTAAATCTCGTAGAGTTGTACGAGTTATTAAACAATTTCAGGCAAAATGGCGAATACAAACTAGAGTTATAACAGAAAATAACATGTATCCAATACTTATGCGTGTCACTGTAAGTCCTCAGGTCTGATAGTGCTGGAAAGTCACATAATCTTGTTTAGTGGTAGAAACCGATGAGTGTTTTCATATTTAGAAGCGAATAAAATTCGTATTTTATTCATTTTACATGTATCTTTCTTTGTCGTAATGCCACGTGCTTTAGTTGAAATTAGTTGAAATGTTGTTGCACTATGTGAGAAGGATAAATCGCAAATGGAAATTGCCTCTATCATTAGAATATCTCGTTACATCGTGGAACAAATTTATAAACGGTATTCTGAGGGGCAAAGATTTTCGGATTAACAAGAAAAATCCAGATCTTAAATACAAATATTATCAAAGAGACGAAAGAAAATAATTTTCATTATCCCGAAGAAGTATGTGAAGAAAACAGTCATTTGAATTATATTGTTGGTGTAGATATATACCAAATTTTGCCTATGGCAAAATAATTCATATAGTCGAAATTCAAACTGAAGTTAAAACAAAACAAATGAAAAACCAAAAAGTTTTTTTTTTTTTTTTGCTTTTGTTATTTTACAGTGAGGTTCGCCCTATACAAGTCTCGAGGGCCACTCGAGGTAGAGGGTTACAGAGTAAGAGAGTTTATGCAGATAAGAGGAGAAAATAACGGTTAACCTTAGACTTGAACAAGTTAAGATTCCAGTGATCGAGGAAACATCGCAGTGGTTCGCAGGAAAAAATGTTCAAGTGTAACACGGATTCAATGAGGGTGGCTTTTTTACAAGGTGAGTGATATGGCGGGTCCTTGCCGTGAAGGTTGGAACTGGCGAAACCAAGGACTGAAGCTCGTCCGAGCACTTTCCATGGAAGTGGCGATCGAGTAGTGAAAGGCTTGCCACAGTCCGCTTGTGAGAGAGGAGTTAGTGGATGGAAAATAATTTGTCACCCACAAGGACTCAGGGACGTTCTTGGACTCTGTCGAGACTGAAAATTGGGAACTGGCCAACTCCCGCCTACACATGACAACATTTGAGGTCGAGGATAGCATGCGGAGCCAGGTACTTACTGAAGTAATACAGGCAACCAACCCCTTTTTCCCGCATCTTTAGTACGAGTTCCACTTTATGTCTAGGGTAAGTTTAAGGCCCAATAGTCTCTCAAGGTACAGAGCCTCCCCGTGGGGACACCTATTCATCGTGACTGGTGGTAATTCAGGGTCCGATCTGCGATGATGGAATGTTATTAGTTTGCTTTTCGAGGTATTGAATGTAACCAGTTATCGTAAGGGAACCGATATTTTAACGTGATATGGCCGTAAGGCAGTATTATTTTTTGGGTTTTTTTTCAAAGCAAATTTCAACTGGGTGTATGTTTGTAGGAGTAAAAATTGAATTCGCAAAGATTGACCTAAGATGGACATCTACAAAAAACTCTTACTTAAATCTCTTAGAGAGAAATTTGGCGCGCGTTAAGATTTAACTTCAGGCTTGTGGAGGTAATATTGTTTCCAGCATCAAGGTCATTTATAAAACAAAGGTGGTTATTGATTATTTTGGAACTAGACTGACCATCAAATTACTCAATACATGGCCTGTTTCATTTATCACTGGAACCTTGTTTTAGCGACATTTACTTTTGGTCTGAGAATGAGCATCACTAAAGCAGCACTACCAAACCTAGTCCTTTTACAGATTATCAGAAATTGAAATATTTTTTTTAATGAAGGGCTGATTTGCAGTGAAGTGTTCTGACGTTTAAAAAGTTCTACCAAAGAAAATTCTATTTTTAAAAGCTTCACAAGTCATTTCAATATGGTTTCTTTGATGGTGCCAAATGCAGAGAACAATTCGAAGAGATTAGAATTCTTCAAAAGCATATTTTCTTTCTTTGCATTCGAAGAAAAATTGTTGGATTACATTTTCCGTTTAAAAAAAAAAGAAACTGGTTTTGGTTTTCATTGGATGAAATTTCCGAGTCAAAATGCTAAAAAATCCAATGTTAGAAATCTGCAATCAAAGAAAGGTGTTCTTGGGATTCTACATAGTCGATAATCTTCAAGCAAACCATTTATTAATAATACTTTTTTGTAATATTTTCCGGCATCCATGCTTTCCCGATAACATTCCGTTTGTACAATGACAAACTTTGGACATTCGCACAAAGATCTTTTGAAAGCTACAAACAAAAATATTAGCCTTTAAGACGTATTTTTTTTCTCTGTCCAACTCTCTCGTTCTTTTCTTCTTCTTTTGTGATTTCTCTAATCTATCTATATTTCTTTCTCTTTTTCGTCTGTCTTTGTCTTCTATTAATTTCTTTTTTTCCTGTCACTCTTCTTCTTCTTCTTCTTCTTCTTCTTCTCTCTCCCTCCCTCCCAGTTTGTCATTTTACTTCCCTCTTCAATATCACGATCCTCCCTCTCCTCCCTCCCTCCTTCTCTTCCTGCCATGTGATTTATCTCCTCATTATTTCTTATTCTCTTTCTCTCTCTCTCTCTCCCTCTGTTGCTCTTCTTCATTCTGCTGTTGTCTTTATGCACAATTTTCTTATTTTCCAATCGATTGATCGTGATTAAAGCGGACATTGTGCCCTTTTTCGCTTGTCAATTTTCCCATCTTTAAAAATCTATTTATTTATTACGTTGTTTCCTTTTACTGTAAGCCACAAATGCGCCTAAAACATTTGTTTCTCTTTGGTGGCGATTCCATGCCGGAAAAGATTTCCTTATTTTGACGTTTTTAATCTTTAGTTTTGAAGAAGAAGAAGAAACTGTGAAAGTTGAGATGTATGAGTGACCAAATGAAGAAGAGTAGATTTTCCTGAAGCAGTAATCTTTCTTTCTTTCTTTCTTTCTTTCTTTCTTTCTTTCTTTCTTCTTCTTCTTCTTCTTCTTCTTCTTCTTCTTATTATTATTATTATTATTATTATTAGTAGTAGTAGTAGTAGTAGCAGTAGTCGTAGTAGTATTGTCGACGACTTCCAATTGTTGTCCAACATCAAAGCTGAGAACTCCTGGAAGACGTCGAATTTATAAGGGCAAAATTGTATGTGTGTATGTGTGTACGCGCGCGTGTGTGAGAGAGAGAGACAGAAACAGAGATAGAGATAGAGAGAGAGAGAGAGAGAGAGAGAGGAGGGAGAGAGAGAGAATGAACTGTAATTCGATTCGTTTATTGCGAAGCCATAAAGAAAATTGTGCAAGGCTTTTAAATGCCTCTATCGTTAAGAAAAATGTTTTATGAATTCCTGAATAATCAAAACTCTAAGATGATGTGGCTGCATTTTGATGCCATGTTTAAAAGTTTGTTCGAATAAGAGAGTTATGATTCCTTTTCACTCTTCTTCTTCTTTTCTTCTCATTATTATTATTATTATTATTATTATTATTATTATTATTATTATTATTTCACGCATTTACATCTGGTAGTCATCGCTGGAAAATGAGTGACAGCAAGTCTATTCAGATCTCCATCTCCTTCCTCAATATCATCACTAACATCAATAACGTTGCCTTGCAGCTCAGACCAGACACGAAGTTCATTGACAAGGTGCAGTTTCTTTCAGTCAAAAGCGTGTGGCTTAAAAATTACCCTTTCGACAGATCGTTACCCAAGAGTGAAAAACAAAAACAAAACAATTCCTTTACTTTACTACGATAAATTAACGAAGGCGGGTTGAGGCGTAAGTGAGGGGGGTGCGCAATTCAGCGTCTGTGGTCTGTCTTCATACGTAGCCCGCTTCGTACTTTCTGTTTGCCTTTCTGCGGGATGGTCAGCTTTATAGACAACAGTTTCCTTTGTCCTGTCATCTTCGTACAAAAAAAAAAAAAAAAAAAGAAAGAAAGAAAAAGATGATCTTCCTTCTATCACTTTCTTGCTCGTGTAGTTTGAAGTTGACTCCAGTTGCTGATAACCATCAGTCGAAAATAAATGTTCCGTATCGAGCTGTCTTAAATTTAACTCATACTACTACAGTAACGCTGTGGTCTGTCTCAGCCTCCATGTCTCATTTACAACTCATTCACTTTCGATTGCGCTGTTCTTATCCAGCTATACATTCTCTTGTGAATTTTCGCAAACCTTTTCAGGGCTATTCCAAGTATGCCAATAATGATGGGTACAATCCTTAATATTGCACATTTTCTTTTCATTCTCAGGCAAGCTCTTCGTATTCATATTTGCAAAGCAATATATATTTATCTTTGTGATTTTTGCAAGGTTCTTCACTAAAGTTCCAAGGAAACTTGTAAACGATGGAGACCGTCTTCCCTTCCATATTCCGCGTTTTTCTTTTAGTTCCCAGGCAAATATTTTTATGTTACCCAGCTTTTCATTCGCTTGTATTTTTTTTTTTTTTTTAGGCAAATCCACGTGGGGAATGTTAGAAACGCTCCAATGATGATAGATTTCTTCATTTACTTCTTGTTAAACTTTGTAGGAAATGAATCTGCTTTCTAAGTGCTTATCAAATATCAGCATCGTCAACCGCTTGTACTTGCATGATGTATGCAATTCACCTCGGACGATGCCAGGATATATATATATATATATATATATATATATATATATATATGGTGCGTCAGATATTTGAGAACACATTCTCAGGTTATCATATTATTGAACTGCGAAAGCAAGGATTTTGAAGAGACAACACACTTTCCGCGCCCAGTTTCCTTAGAGAGTCTCTCCCGCACGTGTCAAAATTTCTAAGCCAACCAGTGGCCATGCGTTCTCCAGATCTAAGAGTAAAGTTGAAAAAGTCGTGACACAGTGACACACTGACATTCGCATTTATTATAGAGTTGAAAAAATGCGTAATTTCTTTTTTTTTTCCTGTTTCCGGCTGGTCTCATATTTTTCTGCCGCTAACAGCCGAAGCTGGATTAAAGTCTATGTATTTGTAAGGGTCGTTTTTTTTTATATATATAAAAGCGTAACCAACTTTAAAAAAATATAATGATTGCTTCTCCCAACACAATAAGCAAGTCCAGAAAAATATGAGGCAGATAATTAATTCTAATGACGTATTTTGTAAGATTTAACAGTCTCTATATAATGTCATCTGAAATGATGAATAATTAAACACTTGGCTCCCCTGACATGTAAACATTAACATTGCTATAAAACGGTGATTTTACTAGATGCCTTTTAAGTATTTAATTCAGGCCCCTCAATAATACAGAGACCATAGCATTTATGATTTTTGCACCTTGGTTAAACTGGTTGGTTTTTATTGTAAAAGAAGGTAGAAAGCACAATATGTGAACTCCATCAAATCTGGCAAATGTAACTAACCAGTCATATTCAATGGCTGATCTGGAAGAAATTTGATATTACCATGTCCAGTGAGTGTTACAAAAATCTGCCTTCCCCATTTCAAGATATGGACAGCTTTGCCAAGGACATGTCGGTGCCGAGTGTCTTGAATGTCAATATGAACTGACCAGATATGTCACTGCTTTACATGCAACAGTCAGAATGGAAGTGTCCAGAATATGCAGAAAGCGTAAAAGCTGAGAATGATTGATTTTTTTTTTGTTTTAAACGGCTTATCAACCTTTGCATTATTTAAAGTGAAAACATTTTTGATTATAAAAATATTTTTCGTTTCTGACTGAAGATTGCCTTACCAATTGTTTTTGACAATTTTTTTCTTATACAAGTCCTACTTTTTAATCCACGTGTATTATGCGCATCTGAGAGTTGTGTTAACCACAATCTCCGGCGCGACCAACTGTGATAATTCAAATGTATGTTCTGTATATGAAAACAATGAAGAAATTAACAAGAAATAATTAAATAGATTTTTTAACCTTTTTTTTTTATCAAACGTTGAGTATGGTTTTCTAAATTCTCCAAACGTATGTCGAGATTTATTGTAAATTAATACAATTATGGCACAAGACCGAGAAGGGGGAATGGCTTGAGGCTGGTCTTCACTATCTTACACCTAGCTAATCAGATTCACAAGCCATTCACTCGTTACAATTTCCTCACCATAAAAACTCATCCATCATCAATCAATCCTCCATACACCATAATGCCACATCTTCTCAGGTTGGGAGGTTTAAAAAGAAAAAAACAAAAAGTAAAAACATCTCAATGAGATTAAATATCAGAATTGTTTCAGTTCGAATAACTAAAAAAATGTTCATATGATTTTCAATTATTCTCTTCATTTTACTTCCAGATAATCGAAGGCCAGATAGATAGATAGTAATAATGATGGAAGCACTGTATCCCTTTTCGCATTCTTTCTTTCTGTCTTTCTTTCTTTCTTTCTTTCTTTTTTGTTCTCCTTTCATGTAATAATTTTTCTTTCTGTCTTTCTTTCTTTTTTGTTCTCCTTTCATGTAATAATTTTTCTTTCTTTCTTTCTTTCTTTTTTGTTTTCCTTTCATGTAATAATTTTTCTTTCTGTCTTTCTTTCTTTCTTTTTTGTTCTCCTTTCATGTAATAATTTTTCTTTCTTTCTTTCTTTCTTTTTTGTTTTCCTTTCATGTAATAATTTTTCTTTCTGTCTTTCTTTCTTTCTTTTTTTTGTTCTCCTTTCATGTAATAATTTTTCTTTCTTTCTTTCTTACTTTTTTGTTTTCCTTTCATGTAATAATTTTTCATTCTGTCTTTCTTCCTTTCTTTCTTTCTTTCTTTTTTGTTCTCCTTTCATGTAATAATTTTTCTTTCTGTCTTTCTTCCTTTCTTTCTTTCTTTCTTTCTTTCTTTTTTGTTCTCCTTTCATGTAATAATTTTTCATTCTGTCTTTCTTCCTTTCTTTCTTTCTTTCTTTTTTGTTCTCCTTTCATGTAATAATT